TAATTTAAATATTTTTTCAAACAGTAGGATAAGTTTTAGTCCATTTGCTAAAATATAGGGGTAGTTTAAATATTTACCCTCTAAAAATTTCAAGCACTCTGGAATCTAGAAACAATTGCCTCCGCTGATATTCTGAACTGGATAGTCTCTACTTCTACTGTCTATGGGCTTGAGCTTTTAAGGTTTCAGCTTCACTTTTATCTCTATATTATTCTTCATCTTGCTTGAACTTTCAACTTTGTTACCTCATGCAATCTTAGTTTGTGACGATTAAGTATCTCATAACCCTTTTATTTCTGGTTTATGAGATTAGGAAGGAAGAGACAAGGAATATGAGCAACACAATTCAATACTTCTTCTTGGAGTCATGCAGGAACATAAACGTGGTTGAGACTAATCTCTCTCTATTGCTAGTGCAATATATTTCTCCTTTTGTCAGGATGGGCTTTTGCTGATTCAGAGTTACACAAACTAGCACCTCTCTGGGTGGGAGCAAGAGGATTAGAGTTTACATGGGAATACATTTTATAAGGCCTTGAAGCAAATGCAAATCTAGTTGTTTGTTTAATGGCTTCAATAGACAGGCACATATATAATTGACCTGCTAAAAATCTTCAGACGATCAAATGAAAACTGCATTTAGTGTCTTTCTTCAAGTACCGTATTGTCCATTTCATTTGACTTTACTCATTGTATTTGACATGAATATTGTTAAAAGAAAGCATGTGGTCCTGCAAACCCAGATGAACGGGCAATTCAGGTTGGAAGATACAACTATTTCTTCTATAAACAAAGAAAGGTCTATGAAATCAAGGTCCCTCGGCTTTTTAAGACCAAGTAAGTAATCTGCACTTTAATTAATGCCCATGACGCCAATGTTGAATATGCAATTAAAAGTGATAAACTCTCGATTGGATATTCTAACAAATAAAATGATTGTATCTATTTAACATTGGACCCATTTTATTTAACATTGTATCTATCTAACTAATCGAATTAGATTAGTGGGGTGGATTTCATCATTCATTCAGGTCTCATGGTAGTCATAGCCGGGCTTACCCATCATTGATCATCCCTGACCTTCCTTACACAACCAAAGTTTATGATATAAGAAGAAACACCACTACTTACCCATCATTGATCATTCCATTCTAACCAAGACCTTAGGTGTAAGGTATATAATGAATTCTGTTATGATCAAAAAGAGATTGCCACATCAACTGAGAGGTCCTCTCAGTTGTACTAAACAAACATCCAAAAAGCAACAAGTCATATACGTGGACAGATTTTAGAGAAAACTTATTACACTATCATTTCTGGGAATCCATATATAAAGAAGTCAGGTAATAATCTAAATTCTGAGTCTTCTTTAATCTTTCTGTCATTGAATGACACAGTTGTTTTGTGGAGTAAAATTCCTTATTTGTTTTGCAAGATGGAGGAAGATATCATTTTACTTCAATCTCTCATATGAAATCAAGGATAAGGGCATTGAAAGATTCTTAGGACCAAATCATGATAAAGTGGGTAGCTTTCTCTCCTTCTAGTTTCTGAGATGATTATAGACATAAAACTGGAGACTGATGTAAAGAGCTAATTACAGACAAAATGGGTAGCTTTCTCTCCTTCTAGTTTCTGTTTGATAATGCATAATACACATTAATTAAGAACAAAGAGAATCATAGTTCAGAACTGCAAGTTTTAAGGCTCATTCAATTGACGAACTTGAAACAAATCAGATTCAGATATACGTACCTATTTGCATTCCACTCTATATTCGGACCATTGTTGTTGAATGCTTGTGTTGTGCTTCTTTCTTTGTCAGCTCTTTGAGTTCACTGGTTTCTCTGGATCTTGGGGCCAACAGTGATGGGTCCAGAACTACTATGTAGTTTTTTATAACCCCCCATCCAGAGGTGACCAGGACTCTAACAATTCTCATCATTGATTGAGATTAGTTTCCCATCAAACTAATCTCAATCCAGTCCTACCACATTTAGAATCCCACTCCAAATAGGAGTCTATCTCCAATTTACAAAGCACTCTCATAGACCTATACGTATCAAGTGTCAACCCAATAAATTAATATATTTTTTTGAAATTGACAAATACTAACAATCTCCTAGTGTTTGTCATAGTTTTAAAAAAAAAGTTTTTTTTATGAAACAAAACATCCATTGGGTTGAAACAATTTTTTTTTTTTTTGAAATCGAGTGGCCACTCATTAAGAAAAAAAACAACATGTGTTATGAGAGTGCAATATCAAATCAGTCCCATTTTCAATATCCTTACAAATGCCCAAACAGGAGAGATCTACGCTATTATGCAGTAGTGACTCATTTTCATGGTCAAAGCATCTATAAGCATACCTTCCACAGGCCAAAACAAAAGTGGGAATGGTGGTTTGGGAAGCCATCAAGGGCTTCTCCAAATCTGGTCACTAAACTTCATGTGTCAATTAGTTGATCAAACACATGTCACTTTGATGTCAAACCATGTGGTCAAGAATGCTACTTTCAACAAGCATTTCATCTGGTGAGGGCTTAATAGGTGATGTCCAGTCACCATGAATGGCCAAGCCATCAAATCTACATGGATAGTTAAACTCCCATGTGGGAAATCAAATGTGCATATATATATTTCTGAACAAATTATAAAATATCAAATGAGTCATCATCATTAATGAACATTAAATGATATCAATGTCAAAACAAAATAAGATGAACATGATACTCCCACTAATCAAAATAATTCACTAGCATCTATTACACCCATATTGGATACATGACGTTGGAAGGGTTTGATAAGTAAACCCTTAGTCAAAGGTTCAGCTAGTATGTCTTCAATGAGCATGTAAGAGACTATTAATTCATTTTCAACAACCTTTTCTCTGATATAACGATATTGGACCTTTATGTGCTTTGATCTTGCATGATGACGTGCTTCTTTAGTTAAATGTATGGCAGTAGTGTTATCACAATAAATCTGAAAATGTCTATGAATGGAATCCACCACAATTAAATCAATGATGAAAATCTTAAGCCAAGAAGCATGCCTTGCGGCTTCACAACATGAGACATATTCAACTTCCATTGTAGAGAGAGATGTAGATTCTTACTTATGACTTCTCCAAGAACTAGCACCATTGGCAAGAGTGAAAATGTATCATGAAGTGGACATTTGAGTATCAAGATCACCTTTAAAATCTGAGTCAGCATATCCCATAATCTCCAATTTGTCTACTTGGTTGAAAACTAACATGAAGTGTTTAGTTTTTTGCAAGTTTCTTAAAACCTTTTTAGCAGCCTTCCAATTATCCATTACAGGATTATGTTGAAACCTACCAAGCAAACCAATAGCAAAGCAAATATCCGGACAGGTGCAATTCATGATATACATGATACTACCAACAACAGAGGCATACGGAATGTTTGCCATTTCTTTGCGTTCTAAATCATTCTGCGGAAATTGCCCCTTATGCAGTTTGTCTCTTTTTACAACAGGAGATTCATCAGATTTACAATTTGCCATCCCAAACCTCTCTAGCACTTTCTTTATATACCCTTCTTGTGATAATCCCAACATTCTCATACATCTATTACGCCAAATTTGAATACCCAAAACATATGAGGCTTTTCCAAGATCCTTCATGTCAAAAGACCTAGACAAGAAGGTCTTAGTATCAAGTAACAATACTAGATCATTAGAAGCCAAGAGGATATCATCTACGTATAGTATTAAAAATATAATGTTACTCCCACTGATCTTGGAGGCGCTCCCAAAATGCCTTGAGGCGTATGCTAGAGGCGCTGACACCTCTGAGGTATACTCCTTTTTTCATGAGATGCTAGATGCGCACGCCTCATGCGCCTCATGCACATCTGATATAAAAAGACATAAAGAAAAAAGAAAAAAAAAGAAAGGAAAGGAAAGAAAAAGAAAAGAAAAGAAAAAGGAAGAAAAATAAGGGGAAAGAAAGTGGTTTTCCCCTCACTTCATTCACTCGCCTCCGCTTCAACAAGACACCTCCCCCTTTCAACTAATGTTATGCAATTTAATTTTTCTTAATATAAAAGATTCTTACTAAAAAAAATGAGATCCCCCCTTCCTCTTCATTCTCCTCCTAACCCCCCNTTTACTATGCAGCCCAATTTGTTTTTTTGAGTTAGGGGGCTCTTGCTCCGTTTCGACAAGACCCCCCCTTTCAACTAATGTTATGCATCTTTATTCTTCTTAATATAAAAGATTTTTATTAAAAGTAAAGAAAAAATGATATCCCCCCTTACCCTTCATCCTCCTCCTAACCCCCCCCCCCTCTTAAGGAGGCGTAAGCCTCCTTGTGTTTGGGCGGCTTATGCCTCTTGCATTCTGAACTACACCTCATGCCTCTAGGTAGTGGAACACCAAGCGTCATGCCTCCGCGTTTTAAACATTGCTTTATAAATACGAGCATGAAGCAAAGCTCGATCAATTTGGTTTGATGATGGGCCTTTATCTTTTTCAAATGAGGAACAGATAATCAAGTTTTATGAAAGAATCAATGAATGAAGAGAGCATTACTAGAGAGAAGAAAGAGAGAGAAACAGATAGAAGGGATAGAGTCTTAATAGATATATTAGAGATGAGATCTTCGTAGATAACAGAGACATCGACAACAAAAAAGTTTGAATCAGATAATCAATCTTCAAAGAGAGTAGTGAAAGGGAACACCAAAAGAATGAGAATTTAAAATTTTGCTTGCAACACAATTATTTTTCATGTCTCAGGCTAGCCTTTTTTTGGCCAATGTCCCAATTTTCATTCTTAAAAAAAAAGGCCCACAGTAAGAATTTTGTAACCAAATACTTGGGTAGCAAGAATTGAAAACATGAGCCCAACAGCAGTGAACTAAACATGGCCAAATTTGTTGCAAGGTAGATTTACAATACTGTAACCAAAGTACCAAACTAAATTATGTCGATAACTGCCACCAAGGATGGTTATTGTTCTGTGATTTTCTTTTTTTTTTGTGACAAGTAATTGTATTGGTTTCATTAAGAAACTCCTTGCTACCCACAAAAAGTGGATAGAAGGCCAGATAGATACAAAGCCAGCTTTTGCTTAAAAAGCTGTTATTTTGCTATGATCATTAAATAGTTAATTGAACTAACAAATGGATTACATATAAAAGTATTTATCAGAATTCAGAAGGAGGAAAGACCTGCTATATACCGTAATTTCTCATATGAAACCCAAAATACAAACTGCCAAGGACCAAGCCTTGCCCATGTAGGAAAGAACCCCTTCCACAGTGCACTTAACCCTTCTATTTTCATAGTCTTCATTAAACAATCATAAGAATTCTTATAGATGACTTTAGCCTCCTTGCTTGCAGCTTGGTTCATCATTCTTGTTTTAACTACATCTGCTGGACAACTCAAAGCAGTTGCTGAAAGACCCGACATAACAGATGCCAAGGTGTGAGCATATATATTGTCATCACAAATCTCACTCTGGATAATAAAATGCTTTGCATGATCATAGCAGGCTAACTCCCCCATGTTCACTAAAAATGCCCTTTGAACATTAGGGATAACTCCTCTCCAAAGTCCCCCGAGACCTTCTGTGCCTATTATCTTGTTTAAAGCATCAAATGACCCTGTGTACCTCGGCTGGAGACCCCGGCTCACTTGGAGACCATTTGCTTGCATTCTCACCTTAACAAGATCAGCTGGGCTTGCCACAACCTGTAGTTCACAAGGTAATCTAAAAACATTAAACCAAGGTACAATGTCAGATTCCTTTGAAAGATTCACACAATCATGCATTAAGTAGCCACTACCACCACACCTTAGGAAGTCTGACCAAATTGATATCACCTGTGCACTCTACTATAAATCAGTATGATCAGATATTTTAGTTGCCTAGTGGAGTGGGTTTTCTTTGTTTGCATCAATCAGGACCATGCTGTCTAGTAAGTGTGATGCCTAAACTTCCAAAATTCATTAGTTCAGATCAAAATGAACTAAAAACTGTCTCAACCCCAGAAGAGCTGTAGAATGTTTTGAAAGAAGCTAGAGATCCTTTACCTGATCTAGTTGTGCTTCCAGACTGATCCTGGAGATTAGGGATGTTAACGGGTCCATCCAATTAGTTGAAATAGGGTTACTAAAGTACCAAACCCAACCACTCCCATCGCATGAACAACATCTCTGTTCTTAGCAAGCTATGTATTTTTGTAGTCATTTTGTCATGGATCAAGTTTGGTTAGAGCCAACCTCAACCCAAACCAGACATGAAATTTGATATAGTCTGACCCAAACCCAGATCCAATGATATCCCTACTGGAGATGTAAAAGGTCATGATCCAATATTGGTCCTTGGAAGGGTGGTCTTACACAAATCTAACTTTTGGCTTTTTTTGCACAAAGTGATTGTTCTCAGACTGAACTCATGTTCTCATGCTTGTCAGCCCGAGATTTTATCATTACACCAAGCAATGACCCCTTCCATATTGGAGATGTAAAATCCTGAAATGTTTAAATGAAACGAAAAATTAATCTAAAAGCTGTTTAACAAATGGATGACCACTTTCATCAATTGGAGAAGTGAAAGATCACTCCCCAGCCAATGTTGCACATACAGTAGAGTTACTTGTGTACCAATCCAATAGTTCCTATATGGGGCCGGCCACATGAATCTTGTTTTGGCAGTTTTGCCAATCTAATGGTTCCTACTCCTGCATAGAAACTCCTAGACCAACAACAAACGTAATGAAATGGTCTAAAGTTCATAATCCTGTCATACTGCTACCAATAGATAATTTGAAAAGTTAAATGGTGGAACCTATCAAATGGCAGGTTTCAGCTACCCCTTGCATGGCCCACCATAAAGATGTACACTTACCAATTTCATTTCTTTATGCCAGTGTAGATAACCATGTATAAGAGAATACATGGAAACATACAAAAAAGACCATTATCTGATGCTTCCAGTAGAAATAAATCCAAAAGTAAAATATGAAGATTCCTCCAAAGCGGAAAATAATCGTACACATGCAATTTATAGAAGCCTACGGAGGAGTAGCACAAATATACCCCAAAACAGCATCCCATACCACCGATGTGGGATACCTCACATTAGCATCCCATACTACCAACATGGGACAAATGGATCGTAACAAAATCCTTGGTTTCAGGTATTTACTTCGGTACGACAAGTACCTATTTCTCTTTACTGACATAGAATTTAGGCCTCCTCTTTGTCTTGCCGCAAAAGAAGAGGTTGGCACTTGGGGTATGGTCATATTTGTTCTATTAACTAGTCCTTAAATTGATAAATAACCATATTTAGATATTTCTCAACTAGAAAACCACAACTGTTCTAATTGGCATAAGAAAAGTAAATCAATTTTGCCGTGATAGAAGAGGTTGGCACTTGAGGTATGGTCATATTTGTTCTATTAACTGGTCCTTAAATTGATCAAGAACCATATTTAGATATTTCTCAACTAACCAATTACAACTGTTCTAATTGGCATAAGAAACGTAAATCAATGTTCCAAAGCCAACTGAGTTATTATATCGAACACTTAAAAGACAAAATAAGTAAAAGAAGCAACCTGGGCGATTACGCCGGAGATTCCTCCAATGAAGGCTTTCCCGGGGAGAGATAGAGGGACATTCGGGACTGCATTTCTTATGTACTCGTATCCAACAATACGAATCGGTGTATAGAAGAGATGCCGGATAATTGCAGGAGACAAGCCCTTGTAGAGTGCGAGCAGGCCTTCTATCCGAATTATCTGCGAAACGACGCGGAACGCGTTGGTCGGACGAGTGGAATGGAGGGATTCGCCGTGAAGTTGAAGCCTTGTCTTCGTGAGGTCTATAGGAAATGTCGTCGTCTCTGCAACCATGGCTGACAGAGAGGTTAATACGATCTTTGTGTGGATCTTTTCCTGCTCTTTGTTTCCTCCCATGGAGAAAGTAGATACAAGCCCTAGAAGCTGCAGACTAATCTAGACTAATGCCGTAATGCGCGCATTTAGAGCACGAGAGGCATCCCAATGCCGAGGTCGAGACTCGGGAATTTGATTGACAAGGGCGATATCCGACTAGAAGTGAGCAATCCGGCGGCCGAATCTCATGTCGTCAAAGTATGGTGAAAAGCCGATTCCATATACTTTAGGATTGTTGGCAATATCCGGGCCGGGCTGATTGGATCACCCGCGGCAGTGCATGGCGTATATGGATCCGACCCGTCGAGACTTGAAACCTCTCTATATATTCGTAGAGGTTGGTGAAATGGTGATATAGTTATAAATTTTAGATTGATCCAATTAGAATTCAGATATAATTAACATAATTAGGGTGGTTTTGATCAACCATTTACCCATAATCAGAATTCGGATCGGATCTCCCAGATTCTTACTTTATTACTTATTGGATGATATTCAGATATATATAATATATTTAGGGTGGTTTTGAACAACCATTTAGCCATAATCAAATTGAATTCGGATCGGATGAATATCCTAATCGAATTCCACTAGCTCTCAGACAAGACTCCGTATATGCTAAAATCATACAATAAACTAGGAAATCCAATACATCAATTGTTAATACCTCTGATTAATTTTACAAACCATTAACGTGTTAATTCTTGTTTGGATTTCATGCTTCGTTTATTCTTATTTTATGGGGATAATTTCATAATTCATTTACACACCTTGTTTGTAGTAGAAATGGACACATCAAATGTGAAAGTAGAGAATTTAGGCTCAGTTTGGAAATATTATAAATACAAAATACAAAATTTTGCACTCTACATGTTTCTATTTTACACTCTACTAAGTTGGTCATGCAAGCGGCTACGATATTTGGGGATGAAAATGGTGATGAAGAGATTTGATTGAAAATTAAGCCACTCCATTGCTGAACCTAGCATCTCAAATTCAACTCATCACCCTAGTTCAATTTGACTCAAACAACAATCTAGGTGAAAGGCAATGGCGAGGCATTATACAAAAACCAACCTGTTGGTCTCAATGGTCCAATGGCGAGGCATTTATTGGACTCAGTTTGAAAAGAATATAAATACAAATAATACAAAATATAAGGTTTTGCACTCTGCATATTTGTATTTATACTCCTTCCAAACTGAGCCTTGACTTCACATTTACTATGAAAAGGCAAAACAAAAATAATATGGAATTATAAAAAAGTATAAGTGGTTTCTGAAACTGCATGAAACATTTAAATAATTTCTTAAACATATATTGTATATATAATTAATTATCATGGTTTTAAAAAGCGATCTAAATGGCCATCAGGGTCCAACGGACAATTGTAGGGTCCAGATTTAGACCTAGTGCCATGACCGATTCGACCGTTTGATCCAATAGGTTTTCAAAATCATGGTAATTATCCCTTATGTTAGTAGCGGGGCCATGAATAGGTCCATGTGACAAGTGTGGATCACTGTATTTATGTAGGTGAGAAGAACATCCGTCACGTATTAATTGGTTAATGTAGCAAGTATAAGAAATATGGATGGAAGGTGCTGGGTGTGGACGCACTTGTCCTGATTCGATTTTTTTATTGGGTTGTGATCGTGATCAATGATCACGGGGACGTCTGCGTAGAATCATCAGCCCGGTTGTATGATTTTATAATGGAACGTACCATACTACGGCATCTATTGCGGTCTGCGCCTCTGCGGAGGGGAGAGAGTGCCGTTGACGCGATAAAAACTTAATTAGAAAGTAAAAACGAGTCAGATGGGATCGATGGATCCACATCATCATCTAAGCATTCGTCTTGACCTCCCCAATCCCAATCCCCCTTCAAAATTGACCAGTCGACGATAGCCTATAAACTTGGCTTTGGCTTTCTGACAGACAGAATCACAGAATAAAAGAAGAATAAAGAGATGAAGAAGACAAAAAGAAACCAAATGCAATTCTCTCTTTCTCGGAGTTAACGAGAGAGAGAGAGAGAGAGGTATGCATATCTATGCCGTCCCTAACTTCTTTCTTGGGGCTGATATCAGTGCTGTGGAGAGTCGTACTTTGTTTGGCTGAAGCTGTGGCTGATTTCTTCACTCGCAGGTTCTAATTTCTAAAACGGGGTTTTGTCTCTAATTTTTTTTTCCATATATTCTACTTTCTTTCGCCAAATTTGGGTCTGTGTTTATCTATTATGTTTAATTCATTCATGTCATGATCAACATCAATCTCATAACTGAGTCGATGACGATTCTGAAGCAAAGATGTAACGGAGACCAAGTGTTTGGGCGTGGGCGCAATTAGATTTCATGTAAGCTTATTATTGTTATAATGAATCACCATGAATACAATACACCTCCGTCCATTTCTTCTATTCTAAAAAATAGAAATCACACCTTCTTCAACAGGATTTTTTTGTTTTCGGAATATATATGGATCATATATATTTAACCGAGTACCAATTATCCACAGACCACATGGTTATCTTTTTCCCTTTGTCTTTAATTTCTTTTTTTTTTGTAATTATCATAATTAATTAATTAATTAGGATTAATGAACACTATATTTTGACCGAGGAATAAGTATCTCCAAACTCTATTATTGTTATGTTTTACTTCATTTCCATCCGTATGCAACCAAAGAAAGCCTTGTTAAAGGAGAATTTCCTTGAAGGCTAACTAGAATGATAACTTGAATGAAGAGAGAGACGTCACTACCAATATGGTGGCTCAGTTGGTAGGGCTTTTGACCGGCTGTAAGGGAGAATCACATCTGTGCTACGTCATAAAAAGTGGTGTTTCAAAAAATGGCTTTTTATTTGCTTTCGCTTTTTTAGAAAAAACATTGCTCCATACCACATTTTGGGAAATGGAAGTGTGATCTGAAAAATGCCAAATTTAATATTTTCTCAAAAAACTGTTTGTTACTGCCAATGGTGCAATGACATGGCATCATCTTGGACGTTGGATAATGTAGATCAATACTGAAAATAGTTATAGAGCATTAGTACTAAACAAAACCAGTGTTATTTCTCAGAAAACAGCCTATGTGAGAGCATCGATGACAAACAAAAAGAAAGTGAACTGTTTTCTGAGAAAACAATGCAACAAACCCTCATGCATACAGCATCATTTTCTCAAAAAACATCTCTCAAACAATGACATCATATTGATGCCAAACACCTACTTGTGAGTTGGATCAAATCTTGCTGCCACCACAGTTTGGTACCCCATGAATGAGTTTGGGTGCAGACTGAAGCTTTGATTGGGTCCCATCTCATAAAGCTAAAAGTCGCTACATGGAAACTGCAACCACTGTTTTGAAAATCAACGCAGAGGCTGAACCATTTTCCCTATGAGTTGAGTCACCAGTTCAATTGCTTAAGTTGAATGAATCAACCTGTAATATATAAATATATAAAATATTAATTATATACATATTTATATATGCTTTTATTTTAGTTTACCTTTTTATATTAAAATTTAAGATTAGAGGACAAAAGCCCTTTTCTTTGCAAAAATGGTAGGGAATTGAATACAAAGATTGTGAAAAAGTTACATAAAAGATTGTGCAAAGTTATGACATCTCAAAGTTTGAATAGTAATTTGTAATCTATGACCCATTGATCGGGTCAAACCAATTAACAGTTAAATTCAATAATTTCTTTTACCAAGTCAATAATTTTTTACCATTATAGCATTATCAGGTTTGGGATTTATTTGGATCAGAATTACCTTGAGTGATAATTGGAATAGTTCAGCCATTTAGGTCAATGATAAATTGAAAACTTCGAGTGAAACAACCTATTACATGTTAAGAACAATCCTTCTATACTTGTGCAAATTAGAGATATCTTAACCAATAAATAACAAATATGTAGTAATAAATCAATCAGTCAAACACAAAACAAGCAACAATAGTAGTAATGATTAAGGTATCGATATGATACTCCCAATACGCCCTTCGTATCTATGATCATGGATACAAGATACACTACGATTGGATGTGTATTCCATGAGTCATGCGTATCAGTATGATATACCTCCGTATTGGGCCGTATTGCACCATATCGTCGGTGCATACGATTTGATACACACCGATACGGAGGCATATCCATGTCTAGTTTAACAAAATTGTACATTGAGTACTTTTGGATTGTTTTTCATCTTTAATACAATTTAAAAATAGTATTATGAAAAATGAAATAAATAATTTAAGTAATTATTTCAAAAAATTTAATAAAACTAAAAATTATAAAAATAATATATTTCATCTACCTTAGATGATTTATATATTTTATTTTACACATTAAAAATGAAAACATAGTTATTATTTAAAAAAATAGTTATTATATAAAAATACTAAATAAATAAATTTTCCCAACAAAATTAATGGAAAACAGAAAATTATAATTATAAAAACTGAAACGAATAATTTAAGATTTAATTTTCTCAAAAGATTTAATAAAAACTGAAAATTAAATATAATTTATTTTATCCACCTTAAATGATTTATTTGTTTTATTATACAATTATGTGTAAAATAAAAATATTATATGCTAAAAATGAAAACAATTTTACTATTTAAAAAATAGTTGTTATTTAAATAAAATAGTAAATTAATAAATATTCTAAAAAATTAATAAAAATTGAAAACTATAATTATAAATTTGAAAGAATGATAATTATTGTACAATGTTTGAATGTTGTAGAGTCCCGATATTGTTTATTGTAATATTTCTTTTCATATAACCTATTGAAGTATGCATTTCTCATGTCTTTATATCTTATTCATAGATAATTCAGCTTTTGGTTTAGTATTATTAATATATTTATGTGATTTGTATGCATTTCACTAGCGTATCCAAGCGTTTCTATATCTTTGTTCGTATCCATACATTTCCAAAGTGTATTCATATTCGTATCCGTACTCGACTTATCCGATACGATACCCAATACCGATACTTTGACCCTTGAGAAATAGACACCAAGATTTACATGGAAAACCCTTCAATGTGAGGGTAAAAAGCATGGGACCGAAGTCCAAATCATCCACTATCATTAATGAAAATGGGATATAATGTTTTTCTATCTAGACACAATTAGATGATGAACATCAATAAAGCTCTTGTGTTCCAACAACAGAAAACATCAAT